GATGCTACATTATAACATGGCCTCATTCTCTTTTTCATATTTTGCAGATTTTCATTCATTATAAAAATAAAACTTATTAATCCTTTACTATATGTACTTATTCTTTCAATGTATAAAACTAAAGAAATATAAGAATCTTACCTATATTTCTGTCTGCATTAAAGCTGTTAGATCTACAAATAAATTTTTAAAAGGAAAAGAAAAACATTACTAATTGGTAACAACATGGAAATTAACATTTAAGACCTTGATAAGTGCTATTTTTAATGGTATACTACGCAAGAGAATTAAATCCTTCCTAAAAGCAGGAAGAACAAATGAATAACTCATTACAAAATCTAATAAATCCAAGTCCACTTAGAGAAAACTGAAGTACTTACTTTGCCCAAATTTAAGGGAGCTATTTCTTCCAAAAATATCAGTCAAGAGGAAATAGTGTCCATTAAAGTCTCTATCAATTACTTTATTTTGGCAGTAAGACTAGAAGACACCTCAATATATTTAAATATATTCATTTATCATTCAATAAATATTTACTAACCTCCTATTACTTATCAGGTACAATTATAGGTAATAGGATTACACAGATAAACAAAACAAAGTCCCTGCCTTCACAGAATTTATAATCTAATGAAGACAGAATAATCAAAAAGTAAGTATACAGTTTAAGAGACAATCCTGATTTTAAGTGCTATGGAGAGAGACGGGGGTTAAAAAGAAAAATCAGGGGACCCTCAATGATAAGATCACCTTTTCGGAAGTATAGGAATGAATTATGCTGATAACTGGGGAAAGAGAGGGAAAAGCAAATATAGGGGCCATGAAGCACAGCACAGCAATCGTGGTGTATTCAAGGTACAGGGACGGATGTTCAATAATCCTCATCTGAAATGGTACAGAGGTCAACAGATGGAACCAAAGAGGAGGCAAAGAAAATTAACAGTCATTATTTCTGGGGATATGCCCTCATAATTACAAGTGCTAGATGTCTTTTGAAGATCACTTATGAAAAACATGATAGTAAATGTATATATATCCTGGGGATCATAAATTTAGAGCCACAAAAATATGAAAAAAAATGTGTCTTGATATTACGTGAATTGGTACTTATGGCTGTAGATGGTTTCCAGGGCTTATTCACTGACATCAAAAAAGTGCATCATCTCTCCTTTCATGCAAAATATAAAAGAAAAAAGAAAAAGAAAGTGTGATATCTCAAACAACTTAAATAGAAGACAATTTGATCTGGGAAACTGATAGAGAGGTCAACCTTAAAAATGTATATAAATGTTTCAT